CTGAAGGGGTAGACGACGACTACAAGAATAACGAAAACTCGGGAGTTTTCTGGACTCACTCGCTCACAAGTGCTTGGGAATATTTTCCACAGGATACTTTCGAGTGGATTTGTTCGGGCCATACGGATGTGGACAAGTCATGCGACGCAGTAGTAGACGACATCAGAGGCTCTGCACGGAACTGGACCATAACAGGAGATATTGGCTACCTCGTGAGTGTGTCTGGGTTCTCCCACATGAGAGGCCCCATACAGTACTGTTTGCGTGAAAGGAAAGACTCAAAGTGTCGAGTTCTCTGGAGCATTCCCATCGCGTCGCTGGTGATAGGGCTGAATCTTATCAAGGCCATATCGATCTTCTATTTGGCTCTTCGCATTAAAGAGCAGCCACTCATGACGATGGGTGACGCTGTGCTCTCATTCCTGAAACAGCCGGATCCATGGACTCGGAATATGTGCCTCGCTTCCTCCAAGGACATCGAAAGTGCAAAAAACAATTTCATTGCCGGACCGAAGAGATGGAAGCTTCGAATCTATAGATGGAAAGATACTACAATTCTAAGCCGTCGCATTAGCACTTTCGCTGTGTAAGTGCGCACGCGTCGTTCTACCATCGCAAAGATTCGTTAACATCCCCCAGGCTTCTGATCTCGATAGCAACCGTAGGAGGATTTCTTTCCTACGGGTTGCGTCATCTCCGATCTGGTAAAAGTAACTCCCTTCGCAATCTCGCTGCGTTGGGTTTTGGTGCCATCGACGCTCGGACACTAATCGAGTATCCACGTGAACACAATGTCGACTCCATAATAGGCAACACTCTCATAGCCAACGTGCCACAGGTTGTGCTTTCGATCATCTATTTCTCATGCAACAGTCTGTTGACGTGTATGCTGCTAGGAAAAGAATGGTCATCGTATTCATACGTTCGAAAGGGTTTAAGGGTTTCGAGCGCCCCGAGAGGGTTGCAAAGATCAACCTACTTCTTGTCGCTACCTTATCGGTTTGCAATACCACTTATGGCAATCAGTGGATTGCTACATTGGATGATATCACAAAGCATCTTCTTTGCCGCCATAGAGGTAGGCTCTTTACCTGGACATGTTCTGAACTTAGTGTGATAGCTGACGATGACATTAGTTCTATGGGATCGGTGATAGTGTGCCATCAGATGTACGATATACATGCGGCTATTCTCGCATCGCCATGATATCTGTGATCATCGTTGCGAGTCTCGTTCTCATTGTCGGCGTCGGAGTGGGATTCGTTCCTTTGCGACCAGGAACCAATCTGGTTGGCAGTTGTAGTGCAGCCATGAGCGCAGCTTGTCACTTGTCAACCGCTGACAAGGAAAGAGGTGATGAAATTGCCGTTAAGAAGTTAATGTGGGGTGTTGTTGAAGTGCAATCAAATGGAGCGGGGCATTGCTCCTTCTCCGACGAGGCCGTGGAAAACCCCAAAGAAGGTGAGCTATATGCTGGGCCGCGTGCGCAGGCTTATCCACAGCGACCGAAAAGATGAAATAGATGGTTATATAGAGGATAGTTGAGCGAGTTTGGGTAGTCGCTGGAAAGGTGTCTTCGTAGCAAATCGATGGTGCCGTCGCGCGTGGACTTTTATTCGGATGCCGGACGGAGGGATGACCTAAGCGTGCCATAATCAGCATTATCTCCACCTTTCGGAAGCGGGTCCGGCTACCAACCACCCTGCTTCGGCTCATGACTAGCACACTCACGCGACGCACTAAATGATGATTTGCAACGTCATTGAAGCCACAGCAAAGAAAGCGTCCACATGGTGCGGATCAGCGTTGGATGCGGGGTCCGGACTGACCTCGGTGTACAATGCCCCATATATCAAGCTTCTCCAAAGTGACTTTGGGGTCTTGTAGAGTAACATCTTATAACCTACGATAGCAAAAGTATTGATACATTGACTATGGCGAAACAAGAGTACAAATTCCCGGCGTTTGACGACCTTCCGAAGGTCGAGGGCATGCCACAGGGCAGCATATGGGGGTTCTTTGACAAAGACGGGCAAAAGGATGAAGTCGGAAGTAAAGCAAATTGTACCCCATACAGCAATCGTATATCTAACAGGCGACAGCTATCAACCTTCTCACCTCGGATGTCGTGAAAGCGGCCTCCAAAGAGATCACTACCGGCGAGCACATCCAGCTTGACTGGGAACTACACAACGTGCAATTTCCAGGGTTCAACAGAAAAGAACTCGAGCAAAAGCAAATCGATTTTGCGGACTTCTCCGAGTTCTGTGCTAACGATGACGAACTTCACATCAACACTCAAGCTGGATCTCAGTGGGATAGCTTGAAGCATTTCGCGCATCAAGCAAGCGGCATGTATTACAACGGTCTCTCGCATAAAGAGGCAGCGAACAGCGTCACGAACGGAACGCACAAGTGGTGCGAAAGAGGTGGCATTGTTGGAAGAGGTGTGCTTTGCGACTGGCTTAGTTGGTATGAAGAGAAGAACGGGAAGAAAGCACCAAGTGCGGTGTCGAGACACGAGATCCCTATCGAGGAGATTGAAGAGACGCTGAAGTGGCAGGGTACCACTTTGAAGCAGGGAGATATTATGATGATTCGTAGCGGATACGTAAGATGGCACAAGTATGTTGTCTTACCACTTTGAGAGATTTGACTGACGATTGTAGCAACGCGAACGAGGCGGAGCGCAAGAGCGGTACTCGCGACAATAGTGTCGCAATCGGTCTTCAGGCAAACGAGAAGACAGTACGTTGGCTTTACGACCGTCACCTCGCGGCGATCGCTGGTGATACCGTCGCTTTTGAAGCATGGCCACCAAAGTTTACCGACGGATGGTGCCTACACGAGTGGCTTCTCGTTCATTGGGGTACCGCTATCGGCGAGATGTGGGATCTTGAGAAGCTCAGTCATAGGTGCAAGGAGATGGGCCGGTACACTTTCTTCATGACAAGTGCTCCATTACACGTTAGGGGTGGTATTGGAAGTCCACCTGGAGTTATCGCCATCTTCTAGGCGCATTCGGTCACCGTTGCTTTCGGAACTGTATCAACGTTGTTTCTGTGTATAAGATAGTACCAATCCAAAGAACATCTAGCATTAACAATGTTCGCAGGCTAGCATCAGATCCCGCGAAGATATCGCCATCGACTCCGTTTTCGTGTTTAGCCTCATTTTGGCATACCTAGGTATTGCCCAAAATTGCATTAAACATGTTAGCCATTGAGTCTGACGATGCTCGTGAAGGGAAATTCAGGTGCTTGAACATCCAGAGTTACTATTACCAGAATGGAGCGGACGGTATGGGTGTGGTAGGGTGTTCGCGTGTCGCGAGGCGTATCGGCGCGTATTCTCTTTCGTTACGCGACCCACAGACCAACACGAAACAACCAAGCATGGTGTCAAAAGATGCCGCGCGGCGCTGCGCCTCTTGTAGTAATGCTTGAGAGAGATAAGAGAACGAAAGAGTTGAATGCGAAAAATGCGCCGAGTCAAGATGTGTATATAGTAACGGCGCGCAGTCGTGTCTTGAAAGGTATCTTCATTCGCTCCATCATCTACTACATCTTCGTGCACATTCTGTCTTTAATCTTTTGTTTCTTGCTTACCCCAAATCTTCCCTGGCTGTTATCGACCCAACATCCACAGATGGCGTCTCACGATATCGTTCCTAGAGGCGAAGCCGACTTTGATCTTTACCCTTACACGCCCTCAGCAGGCGCCGGCTACACATTTCTCATACTATTCGCGATCGGCAGCCTGACGCATCTCATCATGCTCATTCCATTACGAAGTTGGTTCTTCATCCCATTCGTTCTGGGCTGCGTAGGTCAGTTACCTCGGTGCTTGACCCCATCGCCGAAAAGCACATCGCTGATAGTTTGATCCACAGGCGAAGCAGCCGGCTACTACGGTCGCGCCTGGTCCTCAAAGAATATCCGACAAGGCAGCCCTTATCTCCTTCAACTCATGCTTATCCTTGCGGCCGCACCACTTCTCGCAGCCACCATCTACATGACGCTCGGTCGCCTTATTCGCTCTCTCGATGCTACGCACCACGCTGTAATGAACCCGCGCTGGACTACGAAGATATATGTCATCATCGATATCGGATCCTTCGTATGCCAGATCATGGGGTCGGCGATGCAAGCTTCCGGTGACCCAGACGGAGTGAAGACTGGAACCACCGTCGTCATCGCAGGACTGGGTACGCAATTAGTCGCTTTTGCCTTCTTCATCCTAATGGCGGTGGTGTTTCATCGAAGGCTGAATAATGAGCCTACCAGCACGTCACGGCGAACACATGTCAAGTGGCGCCGCTACATGTGGGCTTTGTACAGTGTCAGTGTGCTTGTCGTTGTTCGGAGCATTTTCCGGCTGGCGGAGTTTATCGAAGGGCCAGAAAGTAAGGTGTATCAGACAGAGGCGTACTTGTATGTCTTCGATGCGGCGCTCATGTTCGCGGTGGTGGTTATTATGGCGGTCTTTCATCCGGGGTTTCTGTTCAGAGTCGTCAGGAAAGCTGAGTTGATGCCACTTAGTGATGACGAGGGGAATGGTAGCTATTTACTGCGCGGAGATGGTCCAAGATAGTTTCTCCGGGTGGATGACAGATGTACAGTATCTAGAACGTGGTAGAGTAGACAGTAGAATGCCACTCTTGTCGGCCGTTTTGTATACCGGGTTCCAACCAAACACCCGAGAACTAATCGAACAGCTTACCAAGCGCTTAATTACTGCCAGTGTGATAATCAACTGAGTGATACCGAATGCAGATATGGTATCAATGGCGTCAATGTTGTGGTCATCCTGGCGAAGAGAGATTGGAGTGAATTATCGGCCGCGAAGGTTGCGACAGCAATGAAGGGTCAGATACTGCCCCAACTCCATCACGAGCTTCTTAGCTCACCTTGGCGGTAACGCAGAGTTCCGAGGGTATATAAATATAGGGTTGACCGTACCCAGACTCTCACTACCCCGCGCACAATCTCTACCCCACGATGTCGATATACATGATGTCGGGCTCACATAGTTCCTACACGCCACCATATCCTCATCAGTACTATTCCTCCCTGCCTCCGCGGCCCCAGGATGCCGCCTTCAATAGCCCAGTGCAAAGTTCCGTCAAGGCCTTCAACGTCCCAGTCTCTGACCATACCCTCGAGTACCGAATTCTAGAGCTGCTACAACCTTTTCGGGACACCAGCAGTCTCTTGAACGCCACTAATGAAGCCAAGAACGTTTTATTGCTGGCTCGTAAGTACAACTGTCTTTGAGTCTTTTCGGAGCGATCTTTCCTCTAGGGTATTGCTGTCAATACTTGAAGTCGATTGTGTTGCACGCGCAATCCCACCACTGGCTATTTCTTCCACCCATGTAAGTAACAAAAGCTAAGAGATCTGTCAGAAAATATCGCCTCCATCATTGTCAGCAAACAGTCCAAGGATCTCTCCAAGGCGGGAACAACCGATGTGTATATCATGAGCCGCAACTTGAACACCACCGCAGTCAACGGTACCGCAGCCAGCGGTCCGGCGTATCTCCGCATCTTCTTCCATATCGACTACCAATCGATTACAGTTGTTAAAGCGAAGATCGAGAACGGGAAGAACGCGATCGGTGCGCTTATCGACGAGGTGGACAAGATAATCGAGAGCCTCATGGAAGATTCATAGTGGTTGTTTGAGGTATGCATGTCGACGAGTGGTCGAGAAGAGAAGGAGACGAATTGTGGCGCCCGAGTCCATGGGTGGCTGCTACATCGCTGGATAGCTCCTAGTCAACTTCAGGGCTTTGTAGAAACTGCTATATTGTGTAGATAATGGCTGGTCGGCGTCTGCAGTAATCAAGGTACTCCCCTCTTCTGTCCACGGTCGCCTCGCCTTCTTCTGGGCTGTAACCCAGGTATGATCCGCCTGCTTGACACTTCCGACATACTTGTACGACAGCATGTTCGCATCAAGTACACGCTGAGAACCCTAACGACACAAACCTTCCCGAGCTTAAGCAATGCGGCCATGCAAGGCATAGACTTTAGGGGCAAGTTCTTTGACGTTGAGACGACACTACGACGCTAGTAGGGATAGCCGGTGCGGCTATAGTGTGGTCGGACACATCGTTGACTTTTGTACTAACCCTCCGATGGTTCGTGCATTTGACAACTTTGTACATGATTAATCGGAACGTTCCGAGTACAGGGACAGGAGCAAAATGGTATCTCAAACTTTTAGTGAGAGCGTTTTGTAGGTTGAGGCACAAGTAGCGCCTGACAGGCTTAGTGGATCGGCTGATCTACGCCCTAGCACGCAGGCACGTCGACCAGTTCTGTACAAGATCGGTCAGGGCGGGCAGATCTGAAGGGAGAGCGCTTCCAGGATTGGCCTTGTCTGGAATTTCCCGGTTTCCGCACTTCACGTGCTGGGGTCGGAGCCGTTTGATGCGTGTGTGGCGCGCACGAACCTGGGAACGTGAGGGCGACGCGCCAGCAGGACCCATTGAAGTAGTCGGGCGGCGAATGAGCAGGCGCCCCACGAGATTGCATCGTGAACTCGAAGATGGACGTCGTCATCGTGCGAGCGGTGTGGCCGGCGGTACTCGCGCTAGCAAGTCTAGCGTGTCGCCAAGGAAAGCTTGGTATCTTTCCATAACCCAGGTGTGGCGCAACGAACTAGACAGAGCGACAGTAAAGGAGGGCATCACGTAGTCCGCGAAGGGGTGAGAAGGCGTGTGCAGGCAGGAAGTCCGCAGGAGCAGGAAACGGGGTTGTCTGATACATGCAGGGAAGAGTTTGCTAGGCTGGGCGGCGCCACACTTGCATCAGACGGAATCGAGATTGTGGCGCTGTCGAATTACCCATGACGCAAGCGGGACACATGTTTTGGCATCCTTTGGGAAACCTGGCGCCGATCGAACCCCCAAACATACCTAGAGGCTCCGTCATACAGGCCAGGGCGACCTCGTTCGGGCGTGGCAGGCCTCGTGCCCCAGGCAAAACGTGGACAGTTGTGGCATTGGACGGCACATGGTCAGGGAACTGGGCTGCCGCGTTCTGTGAGCGTGTCCGCGGAATTCGATCGCTGGCAGCGGGAAAATGGTGGCCGGTAGTCGCGGGGTCAGGCAGGTTGGTCGTGGTCGGTCGCTGTTCCAAGTCCAGGCTCTTCGCAAGCGGCAAGCTACGACGCAGTGACGTAGTTGCTGCAATCGCGCGTGTTACCCAGCCAGCCCAAATACAAAGCTGCTTTCTGCCCTCACCCGCCTCCCTCCCACACAAACCACTTTGATACCCATCCCCTCGAAATACCCATCCACCCTACTTCCATTGTTTTCAGCTCTGCGTCTGCATTTTGATACCCCACCTTGATACCCACAGAAGCAGTCCTACACCATGAGTTCCGTAAATCGTATGTCTAGCTACCCCGCTTTGCCCCCAAACATTGCTAACAGGTTACAGGTCCGGTGGACTTGAAGCAGAAGGAGAAGGATGTCAACAACAAGCTACAGCTGTACGGCATCTTCGAGGGTATGTGAACACGTGCAATGGCGCGTCGATGCCCGTCGCGTCGCACACGCAAATGTAAACAAGCGCTGACCACAACTAGCCTTCTCTAACGGAAAGGTCCCCTCCAACCAGCAAATCGATGTCGCGCTCAACTCCGCGCTTGCCCACAGGTCGCTCAACTCACCATCCAAGAAGCTGTCGAGCGAGGGTCAGCATCTGGTGACCGACCTCAAGAAGGTCATTGAGCAGGCCAAGATCCTACTACTCACCAAGAACGAGGGCAACCTCCTCCAGGACTTCATCTGGCAGGCAGAGCACCTCGGTGGCAACAGCGCCGCCCTCCCTAATGCGCCTGTTGATAAGGACACAGCGAAGCAGCACGGAAACGAGGCGCTTGACGGTCTACGGACTCTCGGTACCCTCCTCATTTCCAACGGCCAGTTCAGGAAGTTGCTTTCAGATGCCACCGTTCTGCTCCGTGACATGGCTGGTGATGCCGCCCAGAACACCGCCAACAAGGTCAAGCCCTCAGAAGACCGTCTCAACAAGCTAGATGAGCCTGCTGAGGACAACACTTGGCACGACACCTCCGACCTGAACCGTGAGAACCTTCGCAACCAAGCTAAGAGCAGTCTGCCCTTCGGTAACAAGAACAAGGACGAGGCCAAGGGTGACTTGAAGGAGCATGCCAAAGACATCAACCAGGCTGCCAACCCTGATGGCTCGCGCGACCCCCAGCACACCGCCCAACTTGGCGCCCACGAGGGTCAGACCGGCCAGAGCACTGGCGTCGACGCCCGTGGTGCTCTCGACGCTGCCAAGCAGAAGGTTGACGCCAACACTTCTGAGGAGGACAAGAACATGGCCCGCGCCCGTCGCGACCAGATGAACAACTACCTCAAGGGCAAGATGCCTGAGGAGCGCCGCGAGCAGACCATCTGGCGTCTTAAGAAGATGGTAGTCGAGATTCAGGGCCACCAGGACTACCAGCGTGCCATCGAAACCCTACTCAACCTCGCCGAGCAGTACTCCGGCCATGGTAAGAACCTTGGCCAGCAGGGCAAGGGTTCTGTTCAAGGTGCGCATCAGAACGAGATCCTAACTACTGCTGAAGCTGATCTCAAGGTGCGTATTTAGGTTTCCTCTCGGAGAACAAATGGCTGACCAACATGAAGACTCTTCTTGAGCGTTTCGCAAACAACACCTCGTTCGATGACTTGATTGAGTCCATCAACCAGGTCTACAAGGACGCCGACCAGGATCCAGAGCTCAGGAACTGGTTCACTCGCATCAACCAGTTCATCCGCAAGACTCTCCAACAGCAGGGCTTCATCCTCGAAGACCGCAGCAACGAGGAGTGGAACCAGATCTACGATGATGGTCACCGCCTCCTTCGCGGCCGCTACCGTGGACACACTGACCGCATCGCCGACGAGTTCAAATTCGTTGGCGAGCAGTTCGACGCTGACCCGCAGAACAAGCAGTTCGCTGAGTCTGTCAACAAGCTCTTCCTTGACCTCGGTCAGGATGAGAACGGTCAGACTGTCTTCAAGCCCCACCTTCTCAAGGACTTGAGCGACGTCATCCTCCCGTCCATCTTCGAGAACGTCCGTTACGTCCCCATCCCGCGTATCGAATACAGTGACCCCATGGTCGACGCCGTCGTTGAGAACCTCGTCATCGAGGGTGACAACCTTGCTCCCAACTCTTTGGAGTTCGGCTCGGACAACTACTGGCGCTGGGGACGCAAGTCCATCTCGAGCAAGAACAAGAACAAGGTCATGCTCTCTGTCTCGGGTGTACAGATGGATCTCAGGGACGTTTCCTACTACATCAAGCGCAAGCAAGGCTTCCCATCCATCACCGACAAGGGTGTTATGGACATCTTCATGGGTGGCTCCGGCTTCAGCTTCAAGGTTGAGATGGAGACAGCTGACAAGGCCCGCGAGAACAACGCGCAGACCCACTTCTTCAAGGTCACCAAGGTTGAGTCTGACATTAAGAACCTTCAGATCAAGATGAAGAAGAGCAACCACAAGCTCCTCTTCAACATGTTCAAGCCCCTTCTTCTCAAGGTCATGCGTCCTGTCATCCAGAAGGTCTTGGAGAAGCAGATCAAGGACTCCGCCAACCAGCTTGACGGCCTTCTCTTCGACATCAAGACTGAGGCTGACCGCGCCGAGGCTGAGGCCAAGCGCAACCCCGATCCTCAGAACATTCAGAACATGTACCAGCGCTACGCCTCTGCTATGCAGCACCGCATCATGCAAGGCAAGCAGAAGAAGGAGCAGGTCAAGGAGAAGACCAAGGACACCCAGGTCAACATGGCTGTTACTCAGCACGACTCCATCTTCAAGAACATCTCCCTACCCGGCGGTATCTCTTCCAAGGCTACTGAGTACAAGGAGCTTGCCGGCAAGGGCGAGAAGTGGGAGAGCCCTATCTTCTCTATCGGCTCCGCCAAGGAGACTTCCAGCCTGCCTCAGGTTGGCAAGGTCACTCGCAAGCCCCACGGTCGCGCAGGCGGCTACGGTAGCACCAGTGAGGAGTCTCGCGGTCTTGGAGCCTCGCAGGGCATCAACCCATCGGCCAACCAGTACGACAGCCAATACACTAACGCTGGTGGCCTCGGCGGTGGTCAAGGCGTTACCACTGGTCAGGGTCTGATGGGTGGTGCTGCTGCTACTGGTCTCGCCGGCGGTGTTCCTTCCACCACGGGCACCCAAGGTTTCGGCACTCAGGTTGACGATGCTTTCAACACCACCGGCACCGCCGCACCTGTTGGATCGTCTGGCCTCGGCTCCACTGGCCTTGGTTCAAGTGGTCTGAATGACCTTACTGCCACAACTACTTCAGCAACTCATCCCGCTCACCCCACTGGTGCCCCGGCTCCCGGCGAGTATAACACTACCTTCGGTGACCAGAACCCCGTCTTCCAGGGCCGCGTTTAGATGCTTGTTGGTCGACCAGTGATACCCGATACGCTTGGGGCTGCGAGTCATGATTACGACTTTCCTACCTTTTGATCATGGATGATACCACGATTGCGCCACGGCGCACGCGCACATGAGTAGCAAATAGCATGTTTTCTTGGTTCTTCTTTCTTGCTTTCGGCGGTTTATGAGTAGTGTAGGACGATTGCGCCCGTAATGGGGAGATGGTTGCCGGGGCGGACCT